TGCCGTGTGGTAGAAATGGCAATAAGCTGTGCCGTGGATTACGTCAGGCCTTGTCAAACTTGTTGGTGTCCTTCAATTGGTAAAACCAGCAAAACTAAAAGTCTGGCAACCATATCCAGCAAGCCTGATCCATGTTAGATGCTTTCATCCAATGATGCCCATTGAAGCTATCGAACTAGCCTGAGATGGCCCACCTCTTCTCTTTTTGAGTGCCATCCAAAACACAGCTTGCCTCCCCCCCCCAAAAAAAAAAAAAAAAACGGAGAAAAAAAAACAAAAACAACAAAAACGAAACGCGCATGACTTGTCCGGCTCCTTCAGCTGCCGCATCGTGGCGCTTTGCGGCACGGAGAGCTGCAGCTGCCCGCTCTGCGTTCCGTGGCGCACCAGGATTTCCACCAGCTCCTTTCAGGAGGCAGCCGGTGACGGGGTGACCGGCGGCTCCGCAAAAAGCTATAGCTGGCTGTGGGTCAACATCAGGTACCCAAAATGGAACCCTGGCAAATAGAGCAAGGACTAAAACCTGTGGTTTTTTCATGGTTTAAGTTTGACCCATAGCCAGCTGAGGCGATTTTCTACGCAGCACATGCAACTTCTGTGCAAAGAACCTGATTCAAAGCAGCCATGCTGCTTGCACAAGACATAGATCCAGATTCATGGGCTTCCTTTTGTGTTCCTTTCCGCGGAGGCAATATCTTGTTTACACTGCTGCTGCCGAATACTTCGGGTGGTTCAAACATGAAAGAGGACGCAATGGTCTGCAAGAAGACCAGCGAACCGTGTATATTTGATGTCCTGCTCCGACTCTGTGGGCGTCTCGCCTCTCACAAGAAGGAGAAGTGGCACTTTTATTTGTTCTCCAACTTTTGCGCCATCTGCAACCACTGCCTCTCTTCTGTAAATCGCGCTGGTCCTTTTGGCGCTTGTGCAAAGAACAATCTTTCGAGAACACGTGGATGTGCCTGCGAAACCCTGCATATGAAAAGAATATGCGCAAGTCAGTGGTGAGCTTTGAGCGCCCTGGATTCATCATGTCCATGCTCCAATAGGCCTCCCTGAGACAAAACGCACAAAAACTGGAACACAAAAACGGGGGGGCATGGGCCACGAAGATCCTATGCTTAGTGCCTGGCTGCATCGCCAAGAGCATGCTGGTTTACGGTTGTTTGTATCAGCAACAGTATTGCAAAAAAGAATATCCTTGCACGTCACAGAACCACACCATGCATATCTCCATCTCCCACATTTCTGTGCAGTACCAAACGTCAGCAGTAAGCGTGCATAGTTAGCATTTACGTACCTTGGCGGCAAATTCATCTTCCCGAGTCACTGACACGATCGATCCGCCGCAAATAAGACATTCAGCCAGAACATGGCGGCTAAACCAGCGCGCACAAACACGCAAAAATGCCGAACGTCCGTGCAAAGCCAAAAAGTTCACGCAACAAGTAAGATTCATTTGCGCGGGTTCCGGAACATTGTGATATTGTGCAAATCAAAACTCCTGCTCGAATTTGTGAGACGAGCTTCTAGACTTGCACAAGTTCTGCACAGCAGTCTACGACTTGTTTTTTCGGTACGCAGAATGTGCAATCCTGGATGAAGTGAAGAGTCTATGTAACAGCGCCATTTAAGGACCGCGAAATCCGTCTGCAGGTTAGATTAGTTGAGGGAGCTGGGCCTGATCCTGAGAGTTGTCTCAGGTTTGGGCCCGGTTCGGAGGGATGTGGTTCATGGCTCAAACTATTTTGGGTGTGGCTCAAAATTAACCAGGAGGGGCAAGCCGCAGGTATTGGTCCGTGTTTCCACTTACCAGGGTTCCATTTTGGTACCGGTTTTCGAGCCACAGCCTTTTGCACAGCCCGGCATCAGTCAACCAACTTAACCCACCAACTCGAAGCCAGCCGGAAACCTCTCCGAAACCAGCCCCTGAGCGACACTTCAGTGTCCCCCCATCACTCCTCGTGACCCCCCAACCGAGCAAACAAAGCAGCCAACCAGCTGCCAGGCCCACCAAAAACCAAAGAGTTCCGAAGCAGTGGCGTCTTTTGATAAAGGGTGCGGATTTAGTTCGGAAGTTTAAAGCAAACTTCTTTAATAAAGCCGGATTAAGCTCCAAAACTCTGCGAGACTTGCCAACTCGACCTGCTACCTGCCCTCCATTTGCCATGCGGTCCTTGTTGTTGACAATGGAGGCTCCGGGACTTGGTCCCGCCACTGGGCCACTTGCCAAGCTCGTCTCCGGGATCTTCTCGACCTTGGGCTCCGCAACCTCCTTGGACTCCATCTGCTCCAAAGCGTCAAAGTCCAAAAACGAGGTCCCAGACTCCGCAGGACCCGGGGGCGGGGGCGGAGTGGCCGCTGGCGCTGGCAAAGCCGCACCGGTTGCCTGTTCAAACTTTTGTGCCCGGGTGGCTCAAATGAACCGGTCACCTACCCGTACACATGAGCCGCAATCAAAACCCGGGTAGATGAAGATTAGCAAAGGGTACTCCCAACC